TCCAAAACATATTTGTGCTTGCGAACAAAACCTTTTTATTTAGGTTTCTTTGACAGTGCAACCAGTAAACTCTATTTAATCAATTTTTCAATGAAAAAAACGTTTTTTTCAATAACATACCAATCCTGGGCTCCAATAACGCTTTTTAAAACGGCTTAAAATAAAAAAGGTAAAAGTTAGGAGGTTAACCATTAAAGTTAACCATTAGCACATCAACACCAGTATCCATTGAGTAATGATTTGACGAAAACTGCAACTTTGCTTTGATTTACTGCTCTTAATGCGCCGTAGTCGTTACTTTTTGATGCACAATATTCCTTTTCTACTAGCCGAAAGACTATCCCACCAGGAGAAAACTGAATGAGATAGCTATTACTGAGAAGCTCCTAAGCGGACTCAGATGTTTGGAGAATTTACTTAAAGCTCGTATAACAGGCAGACTGCATGCGCGTAAGTTTTTCTTCATTTTCAGTCGAACGGCAGAGGGCGCGTGCCGACCGCGCAGGACAAAAGAGGAGATAAAAGGGGGGGATGGAACGTGTGTACCCCTCATTTTAAGCCAGCGACATATCCAGCGATGTTATTCGGCGATCGCGACGAATTTGATGGCTGCGATCGGAGTATTCAATCGCTAATATAATTTATATATGTGTCCTTAGCGGCGACCGGCGTATCAAATCGCCAGTTGTGTCGCCGGCTTTTCAGAAAAACAATTTGCAGGTGTTGCTGACAAGTCACCGCGACGTGTTAGTCAACTTCACTGCTTGGAAAAGATAGCAAAGAAGTTATGAGAACACGATCTGAATACTGAAATAAAAAACAATTTTACTCTATTGACGTTAAGTCTATTGATACGTAGAGGTAAAACAGCAGATAAAATTAAAACTTACATCAAGTTGAATAAAGAGCATGTATTGGCGAGACAGCTAAAAAATTCATTACGTTACTGCAACAACTAACCCCTTAGCAGCCAAAAGTACCCGTTTCATGTTGTCCTACAGTAGCATTTTGAAGTGATATAACGGTTTCCATTGAGGCCTTTTAGCTACGGCAAAATTAAGATTCGGCCGGCAAAAGATCGCAAACTTGTTTTTCTATTTTACAGCACCTAATAAGGACTCCTCGAAACCATCATATCGCACAAAAGTGTCATACACAAGGCACTGTACTACACGACATAGAAAGCTCTTATCATTCGTGAGTTCAAAACTAGATAACATAATTTAAACTGCTCTCGAAAAAATTTAGAAATACAGGCTTGCTCAACAGTTTTCTAATCATTACTTTATGAAGTTAATGATCTAGGTAAAATTACATCATTCTTTCCCGATTTATATTAAATGGACGGGAGGGTTTTGCCGCGAACTTATTTTTACATAAGCTCGGATTCCTTTGTTTTTTTCGGGGGGAATATATTACATAACTCCCGAATCAACTGTCTGAAAAGCTGGGTGCGGCTTCGATTGTTTGAAGGGAAGAGCGGGGCTAATGAACAGCTAATTCAAATGCGGGGGGATTATGTATTAATATGCAAGGGGGATAAGGGACTTATTCCCCTTGCATATTAATACCTAATCCCCTCGCATTTAAATTACCAGTTCATGAAGAAAACATTTACAAATGTTTATTGGAAATATTAAATACGAAGCTACAATTTCTGAAATTAAACTGAGCACTGTTTTCTTTTGGGGCACATTCGCGGATTTTCTTAGTCGGTGGTTCATCGCTTTCCACTGAGGCCCCCGAAAAATTAGTTGCTGATCCGTGCAAAACTTCGGACACAATTTCCTTCTGCGCGTCGCTCACTCTTTGATTTCTGACTCTGAATCGCTCAGCATAGCTAGCCTGTTCCTAGCATTCACCACGAACAAGACGAACAACTAATTCGAAATGCGACTTTAAAAAACTACCATAATTAAAAAGCCGAGAAACTTGTGAATCCCACCAATGCCAGCATTTTGAAAAACAAAACAAACATGAACAATAGAGCCATTTTTCTTCAGTGCATTTTTGCATCCCTTGAGGAATCCTCGCACATGTAAAAATAAGCCATTTATCGGCCTTCAGCTCGTGGTNCGCCTCTCTTTTGACTAATCGTATTTCAAACTAAAACGAATCGCGACTTGACCATCCTCATTCTTTCGCTATGTGAACAATTTTCTTGTTGTTCTTCTGAGTGGCTGATGTGGTTGCTTTGGTATTTGTTTTACGACAAAGCTATAAATCGAGATGCCATCAGTTCAAGAAAAACACACAACCAGAACGGAAATGAAAAGTCTTGCAACAGGCCTGACATGTATCCAGGTTCAACCCCCAACCTTTGGCGACAGAATGATTGATTGTATCCAAGATAAGGACTCTTGGTGAACGGGGGGTTGGTGCGGGGCAACTATATTGGAGACTAATATAGCGATTTAACCAAATTTAAAAGCAGAGCAATTTTAAATTGAGTGTCGAAAGAAGTCTGGGATTGCTTTTGATTTTGCTTTACTTCGCTCTGTGATTAGTCCAGAAAACTCGTGCCACTTTCTAAACCAATCAGATGCAAAACTTAAACAATCACGACTTGGTCGCCCGCGTTTTCCCGCGCTTCAAAAGATTATAGGTGTTCTTATTTTGCGTTCTCATAGGCTCTTGAAGGTATTTTCTTCGTTCTGGTTGGCTGTTGTGATTAATTTGGTTTTGGTTTAACGACACTCAATGGAAAAGCACCCTAATAACTAAGATACGAAGAAACACATGGAATTTATAAGGTAGAGTTACTCTTTAGTATCCGATCTTCCGATTTAGAGTTAATATCCTTCGCCTGTTGTACAACGATAAAGGAAACACAAAACACAAAAGTCACGTCTTAAAAGCTACTGTGGCTGCAGCACAATCAATAGCATACCTGTTGGTATATCAAACACTGAATAATTGAATTTCCAAGCTTCAAACTCATGGTAATCGAGGATGTAATGATCATAGTATGACGCTAGTAATGTATCGTATCCCATCATCTCGTACCGGAGTGGTTTTAATGGACGGGTTTTAGTTGTGTACAATGTATATGTGTTGACCTTGTCGTAAATTGTGAACGAGTGTTCCCATTTAGCACACTCTGCACCATTTAGTTCAGTGGAACCGGAGTACTGAAAGAAATATATAATGATAAGAATGATAATTGAGAAAAGAAAGAGGAGTGTACAGTGCAATGTACAACGAAGAGAAACATATAATAATGTCATTATCCTTTCACCAAAGAACTTAATAGAGGCTAGAGATTACTTTGGCCAATTGACTGTTGTGATTTAAACCAAATTACAATAAAGATGTCGTAGAAAAAAGGGCAAAAAACAGAAAACTGAAAAAAGCAAAATAGATTTTTAGCAGCATATAATAGCATAACTCTGACTCTATGCCCTGCGGACGAAAAGTTTTCACAGAATTTCAAATGAAACATTTTTTCAAACTTCTTGAGGGTATTAGATGTTGTTTAGGAATTTCAAGCGATTCCATTAAACTAAAAAATATATACATGCAGTATGCTTGTGCTAATTTTCTTTAATTTGGCTTTTTCCTATTTTCTTTTTGCTTAGTTTTTGACAATGCTATTGCAACTAGGTGTCAGTATATCTATTCGCCTTTGGTTTGTGATTCACAAACTCTTTTCGTACACTTCCAACACACTATTTGGGTTATCACGTCGGTAAGTCAATTGCAAATGGCCTCACCTTGAAATATGAGGGTGCTGGTATAATATTCTGAGCTTTTATTGGAAATTTCTTAGTTCCACGCCTGTGCATACATCCAGTGAACGTTTTATGTTTCACTTCAGAATATTCTGGAACAATTTTGCATGCAAACCCGTGCCTACCCAGATCTCCGCGCTGAAATGTTTTGTCCATTCCTGGGAAGAAACATAAAAAATTAAACGTGTAGCTGAGATTAAAAGTTCGGAAGGAAAGCCTCTTGCCGTAGTAAGACGCTCCAACGAAATCTTCGTATCAAATGCAGTTGAAGGTTTAATTTTTTGGTCGTAGCAGAATCTTTGCCCAGGGAGGGGAGGGGGTATTTGGGTCAATTTTTGCTGGGTATGCACAGCTGGCTTCTCAAAATTCCCACACTATTATATTCTATTCTGTGGCCAGTTATTGACTCCGTCTTAGTTACCTTTGGGCCGCAAATTCCTACTTACCAGAATTTCCTTACCACCGAAAAACCCGAACACGTACGACACTATTAAAAATATGTCCTCGTTATAGTATCAAGTCGTGCAAATGAGACCCCATCCACCGGCACGTTCGTTCCCATTAGCCTCTTACAAGGAAATACCCCCTAGGAATCTTCGCTGTTTATTTGATAAGGGATAGAGGTTTTATACGTTGATGAAAAAGACAGAAGGTACGAAAAATTTAGTTATTGCAGTCCATGACATATATTCGTGCAAAAGTGTAGATAAAATAGATCGTACCATTATAGTAATCAATTCTGCTCATCTTTTTAGATTTGGAGTACCAAGCCTCAAAGGGTTCCACGATGTCTCCATAAGGAAGTGATAACACACCTTTAGTGTGGTAATTATCGGGGAACTGTAAAATCTCCTCTACTGTAAAGACGTGACGCGTCATGCGCTGTCCAAGAGGCGTGTCTTTCTTTTCATGATCTTGGTAGAAGACGTAATAAACGATTCCTGTGTCGAGAATTCAAATCGCACATATGTTACTTGGAACTGAAATATCAGCCTTAAATAGGGCTGTGGTACTTCTGGGTGATTAAATTTTAAAATAAAAATATATTATTGTAGCTTAAGCACTCAAAGACCCTTTAAAACCCAACGCCAAGCTTGATTAGACTATGGACCTATCTAAATGACGATGAACATAGAGGTTCCCGATTTCCGAAGCAATCAATGATATATCGATGGTATAATGGAACGTCCGAAAAACGGAAGCCTTTGAGACAAGAAAAAATGACTAAGTGGACGGCGAGTTTGGAAAAATTTAGGGCCAGTAATTTAGAAGAGGTCTATCCCAAACCACGGTTTTACGCAAGCAGTGGGTCTTACGTATTATCTATAAGAGGTTTGTTTTCATCAAATAAATGTCCTTCCTCTACTTACTTTCGGCCTTCTTATCTCTGTTAACAAAAATAAACGTTCAGATAAAAGAGTTAACTAAATTCAAGATAGTTTAGACCGCGGTTTTGTTAAACAGCGGCTAAACTTTGTTTAAATAACCGACCCGTAGGGTTTGAAAAGGTATGGAACCATTCGATGGTATATAAGTCCGCGGTTTTGTTAAACAGCGGCTAAACTTTGTTTAAATAACCGACCCGTAGGGTTTGAAAAGGTACGGAACCATTCGATGGTATATAAGTCCGCGGTTTTGTTAAACAGCGGCTAAACTTTGTTTAAATAACCGGCCCGTAGGGTTTGAAAAGGTATGGAACCATTCGATGGTATATAAGTCCGAGGTTTCCAATAGAAACGCGATCAGAATGAAAATTAAGTGCATAATGAAAAAGATAACGAACCATTGAAAGTAAACGGTGCACAGAAAAAAAAAGAAAATTTACAGCGAATTATGTTGAAAAATAGAATAGGGTAAAGTTTTAAAGAGGCTAAAAGAAGTAAGGCTTCGACGATGATCTGTGCAGTACTGTCCGTATATAAACAATTTACATTCTGTCCTCTAAAAGTGACAGCACTTCTGACCCAGGGAGTAACACCTACCGTGAACGCTTAATACCGATCTTAGAGAAAATCAAATTTCTAACAAACTAACACATACCAGCTGCAAGAAGGAAGACCAACAACAACAAACGTCTGCGCAAACTTCGAGTTCTATTTAAAGTTGTCTTGAACCACGACGGCGCCTTCACCATGCATAAACTTGTCAACCAAAGATCGACTCAATAACCACAGTCCTCGCATCGGAACACCAATCCTTGAATGCGGGTCGCTCAAAGATTCCTGTCTAGATTAGAATTTCTTCGGAGATTTTTCAGGGCAAAATGTCTGAATCTTTACCTTATCATTGTCCTCGTACGCGTTCCCTTTTCCTAAGGAGTGGCTCTTCTCAGGTCACTTGTGTGGAAGTAATTTTGGTGCAGTGACCATGAGTTTGGCGCCATGATCAAGAACCTTTTCAGACTCTGACGAAATGTTTTTACCGCGCTCTACTCAGGTGGCCAAACTACATGTAACCTGCTAGGTCCCAGGCAACCGCGCGAGATGCGCCATAAACTCCCAGTTCTAAGACTACTAAGATCACAAATAAGCGATGAAAAACGAATATATCACAACTTCGACTTAAACTACAAATATAACATACGCTCCATTCGAGAGTTATTCAAGAGTATTTTTAGTACTTTCTCCGTGAAATATTTTGCCTTCTCAATTGACCTAAAGGATGAAAAACATCATAGCTAACCACCTGTTTTTGAGGAGCAGGTGCCTGGCATCCTTGAATTTAAATGAACATACTATTTCTCCAATTCAAGAATGATCAAATACGGTAGATAAATGTCTTTTTGTGGCTCTAAGGTTCACTTGATCTTCGTGAGTTTTTTTATAGCTAGCGCTAGGCTGCATTGCATTGTGGGAGATAATTCAAAGATGGCGGCCAACTCAAACACAGAATTTTGGCGTTGTGTCAACCAACTTAAAATACAGCTGCAATCTTTGGATAGAATAGATTCAATGCAGAAATCAAGTGATGAATTAGATGAAAAAAGTATTGTAAAACCTAAGACGTTATCCAGGTAGGGACTTTCTCCGCAAGAAAAAGTCTCGCTGAAAGTTCTGTAAGTCGATCGATCTAGGACAGCATGTAAGCGTAGAGGACTTTGAAGAAATTCTGTAAACGCTTTAAATTAATTCCTTCAAAATATCTGCTTCACTTTCATTAATTAGCATTCTCCGTAAAAGTTCTCTCGTGGTTTATATAGCGTCGTATGTGAGTGTCAATAAGGACGTTGCTGAGGTTTTGATTGTAGTTTTTCAGAAAAGTTATCGTGGTCAAAATATTTATTTCAGAAAACAAGAGTGTTGGATTACTTACATAAATATATGTATTACATTTACCTGGAAATCAAGCGATCCATGAATTGTACTCATTAAGTGATTTCCTGTTATCTATCTGTAGAGATGAAGTCATTACTAAACTAGAAGAAATTATTCAGACAATAGTTGAGGATATCTCACAAAATAAACCTCCTTCCCTGAAGTATAACTGCAGAAATTCGTGGAAGAACACCAGGTAAGTTAACACTTTATATTGTGTTTAGTGGTAATAATAATGAAAGAGGTTCTGAAATTAATGATAACTACATTGTTTAGTTTGGATAATCATGATAATAAATATGATATGATTACGATATTGATAATTGTTGATAAAGATAACTAAACCTAGATATGTTAGAATTTCTTTTTTTATCCAAGGAACTGTTACACGTCATAGGAGTATGAGTGAAAACATATTCTGCCTATTTAACAGGTTTAACAGTGCAGTTGGAATTGAAATGATTGACGATGTCAACCAGACAGAACACAGATTCAGTTCCATGGCATCAATTGGAAAGTTTGGTAACACCAGAGTATAATTTGTTACGATTCAAATAGTGTAGCTCAGCAAAGAAATGAAAGAAGCATGTGAATGAGGGGGGGGGGTTGTACTGTTTTATAAAGGAAGGAAGGGATGAGAGGAAAAGGATTGACACAAAGAAAAGGTGGGGGGGTGGGAAAGGAAGAGAGGAGGAGTGTTAGAGATTGGAGCAGAGAAATTGAAGAGTTAGCCTTAAAAATATCTTTGCAGATAAAATGTGCAGGGGAAAAAATTATAGAACGATATGGGTACTGATAGGTGTTTTTGGATGCTGTCTGATACACATTTGATGCACACAGAATAAACTTAACAGCTCTCATGTAAACAAGCTGCAGTTTTAATGGACTACTCAACATTTGGACACAGCATATAAAATAAAATGGTCACACTAAGTTATAGAGATAGCAGGGAACAGACGTCATTTAAGAAAAAGTGACATGATTAGCTTCAAGAGCATTAACGCTTTCTTATTTGTCAAATCCTGTTTGGTTGACAGTAATCCTATGGTCAGATGAAAATGTAAAACAAGAATGAGTGTTGGAAGAGATCTCTAATGTGTTTTTTTTTTCACACATAGCTGCAACACTAAGGGTCATGGCATTTTGCTACAAACTTCTCCAGCAAGATACTTATGCAACAAAACGGTCAGTCTATTATACAAAATTTTTGAGGCAATACCAAACATAAAGTGCTCTTGAGGGGTTAAGTGAGGTCGGATTAATTAATCTCCTTTTGCAACTTTTAACTGATCTGCAGAGATATCTATTATTCTGATGTTCCATTCTTTGGGAATCAGAATGTTGTGGATTCAATCATTGACAACATTGCATGCATGCTGAAAGTTCCAAGACACTGTTTACATGTGGTAAGTTAGTTCAAATGTGCAACTAGAAGCTTTCATTTTCAAGGCTGTGCTCTAAGGAAAATTGAATGGAGCCCAGTGCTCTGAAACTGTGAAATCCAGGGTGCCCAGCATATGCTTTGTATGAAAAAACTAAAATTTCCGAGTCGCCCAAGAGCAAAAGTAAGGCACCAGAAATGTCTCCTTGTTGTCAATCAGCAGCCATCTGATTCTGTCTTCACACCAGATTTAGTTGTCATCAGTGCCAGTTTGTTCCTATCATGATCAATAATTGGCAGTAAATTAGGTCATTCTCTTTCCAAGTTACTAGTATATGCTGTCAAAAAGTTTTGCCTGCCTGTGAAAATCAGTTGCCATCCTGCTGAAAACATGAATGAAACCCCTGTATGTAAATGTATATAACCACACTTACTTTTCTGTTACAAGTTATGCATAAATACTCTCACGAGTGCTTCACTATCAAGAAACCCAGTAAAACCCATTCAACCCTTTACACCCTTTCATCAGCAGGTATATTCTCCATACTGTCCTCTATACATTTCCTGTGGTGCTTACCTGGAGAATTTGGTTAACAATGAAGAGCTTCTATAATTTATGATTATGATTTCCTTAATGTTTGATTCAGGGGTGATATTGTAAGGAGAAATTAGATGCAGGTCACTCTGAGGTGACAAAGTTAAATGCAAAAGTTCTTCTCAGAAAATAATTAAAAGTCACCTTTAAAATTCAAGCAAGGAAAACTTATCTAAGTGCAACTGTCAGACTTTTTCCCTTTTTTTCTTTCAGCTGGCTGCATCTAAAGGTAAGCCCTGTTTCTCATTTTCAAACAGTATATTGTAACAGCAGAGAAAGCTTGTGGTTTAATGATATAAGGATGATAATGTTTGAGAGTGCCTCCTGTAAATGTATCTCAGTCTTCAAACAACCTCACTGGTCTCAATTTAAAGGACAGGGACAGGGGCTTCAAGATCGCCGGAGTTAGTTTCCTGTAAAAGTCAAAGTTGACTCACTAAAACGTTTGTAGAAAGAGCAGTTAAAAAAAAGCTAACTCAGACGATGGTACACGTAGCATCGTTATGAAAGAAAAGAAGGGAGAAATACCTAATTGAAAGAAAAGAGTGCTTGACCAAGACCATCTGTTTCATTTGACTCCTACCTTAAGTTAGTAGTTCACCTACAGGGTGTTATGTCATCTGTATTTGCTATGCAGGGTTCTTATCTTTTACTGTAGGTTGTATCGCTGGAGACCTAAGGTACAAAGAACACGATGGCTCTTCTGTGGATTGCAGCGATAGTAACTCGGTTTGGCCTGTCATTTTAATTTTTGTTTGTTTGTTTGTTTACGTTATGGGTTTTTGTAGTTTTGTACAGTGCCCCGCTACGCTCTTCTTGAGACTGAAATACAGTGGCTACAAAAAATGGGTAAATACAAAGGTAGATTTTGGTATAATTAACAATTATTCCACGAGCGCGCGTTGGATTTGAGGTGATAGATAGCCAACGAGGCGCGTAGCGCCGAGTTGGCTATAATCATTTCATATCCAACAAGCGCGAGTGGAATAATTGTTTCATTAGAAACGCCCCCAAGAAATTATTAATTTGTAAGAAGAAACCGGATTTTTAGCTCCCTTTTGATTTTAAGCTGACGCGTACGCTAACCATATTTGTAGATTATGGTATATTGGCTGATATACCATAATGGCTAAGCCAATAAAAAGTCTTGAATTGCATTATCCAATGATCCAGTTTTTAATAATGATTGTTATTCAGTGAGAAAGACCTTTTCCC